AATATGGTCTCATTCACGAATGCCTGTCTAACCCTAACCTCATTCTGAACAAGCTGAAGAAGAGAGCAGAGCCTGGCTGATACCAAAATAAAGATTATTACACTAATCAAGCCCGGATAAAATAAATGCATAAATCACTTTCTTGAAGTCAACAGATGACCAAATGTTCTTAATTTTTGCAAGGGCCCATAGTTGGAAGAAGCTGGCTTTTACAACAGGATTTATTTGTTTGTTTGTCAAATGAAAAATTGCCATCAAAGAACACTCACAGATTTTTTTTGCAATGGGAGTTCTGGACTTTCTCAGAGAGCCCTACTTCAGCCAAAGTGCACAGAGAAACAGAGGAATATGAGGGAACAGAAGGATCATAAGCTTCGGCCCCTGGTGAGCTCATCACTGGACCCACTTCAGTTTGCCTACCAACCTGGCATTGCAGAGGATGATGCTTCCTCCCGAAGTTCTCTGATGACTCTGCAATAGTCGGCCTCATTAGGGCTGGGTATCGTCACTGATTTCTAGAATCGATTCGATTCCGATTCATAAGGTCCCGAATTGATTCGATTCAATTCAATTCGATTCGATTCGATTCGATTCGATTCGATTCGATTCAATTCGATTTGAATCTGGGAAATTTTGCCTCAGACAGTCAGAAATATTAGAATTCAAATCAGTACATTAACATATTTTTGTATCTATAAAAAGGAAGCTGACACTCGCAAGACTTTATCAAAGGTCTGAGCATCACAGCAGAGGCCTTTGTGTCAAAGTAGCTGAAGATAAAACACAGAAAAACATGAAGGTGGTTTTCCTGGCCTGGGATTTATAAAAATATTCTGCAGTTCATCAAAAACAAAAGAAAACCATTAATCAACATATGAACATTACCTCTGAAGTTACAGAGGTTTTATTAGAGACACGGCTAAGCGTTTTGCATTTTGCATAATTTTAAAAAGTTTAAATTTGTTCAGTATTGAACAGCAGAAATTAGGTTTTCTTTTCGGAAGTAAGTAAAAGGGAAAAAACAGCGGCCGACAGCCTGTAAACAACGTAGACTTGTGCGTAACAAGCAAGCGAATAATGAAGAAAACAGATTCAGAACATCAGAATCAGCGAGCTGTCCGTGCCGTCGGGTGAGAAAGGCGACATCTCACTGATTCTGATCTGTCGGCGGGTCTGCGCTTTGTGTTTACGTCTTTGTGCAGAATCCGTGTACCTGCTCTCATTTACTGTTTTAGCTGTTTGGTGGTTGTCGAAACTGAGATTCTGGCATTTCGGGCAAAATAAATTTATATTAAAAAATCGATTCAGAATTTTAATGAATCGATATCACGTTATCCAAGCCAGAATCGATTTTAATCAATGAATCGATTATCAAAACCCAACCTTAGGCCTCATCACTGATATGGACGACAGGGAGTACAGAGAACTGACGCAAGACTTTGTGGACTGGTGCCAGTAGAATTACTGTGTTACAATAACACTAAGTGCATTTTTTTTTCAAACAACGTAGCATTTTATTCTATTGCATATAGCATGTGTGACAGCCAGTGGGCTGGCCTTGATTTCTTGTTGACTGTCTCTTTCAGATATGTGGTTGGTGGAGCTGACCCAATTATGGATACAGCACACCTGAGAAGGCCAGTCCCAGTTATAAAGCTACCTTGACTGAACCTCTGTCTCTTCATCTGGGGCTCATTATGCTCCTTTGGTTATGTTCAGTTATGACTGTTGTATCATTTAACCTGTGTTTGAGTTTCTTTACTTTATTTCATTAAAATATCTGACAGACTGTGTCACATTCTTTGAGCTGGGTTGTGACATATGGTATTCTTTTTTCTCTTGTTCTATTCCAGTGTTTTTCTTAATTGTTGCTACTGTAACTCTGCACTGTCCACTTTCTGCTGTGACACAACACATTTCTCACATGTGTGACTAATAAAGGCTTATCTTATCTTTAACAAGAAACTGTAAAAAGGTTTCACAGGTGGCTGGAGACACTGGTGAGTGTGTGGTAGGTGAAGGGTTGATAACAGAATTAATGGTGTTTAATAAGACACGGGACCTATAACAGTTACTTCTTAAATCCAGTTTCACAGACAGAGTTACACCCTTGCCAGTTTTTGAGAGCAGGGCTTAATGGTGTAAATTAGCCGAACAAAACAACAAACAACACAGAACTGAGCTCCAAGGAACACAAATAACCTCATAAAACAATAAATCTAAAACTGAGTCCGACCTTCCTAGATTACCCAAAGAGTGAGAATAAGATAATATATGATATATTTTATGTAGACCAGATTTGCTGAATTCTGTAGTGTTGCAAAAAGCAGATTAACCTTGCCTTTGACATAATAAATTTATTATAGTGATTAAAAGTTCCTAAAAACCACTTAAAGCCTTGTCATAGCTGTTGTGCTCTGCAGGTTATTTCTGCCATTAAAATAAATGTTACTTTTACAGCCTACCTAACAATGTTCAAGGTCTTAAATTGTCCTCCAATCAAGCCTCTGTGTCAGGAAGTAGAAAAACAATTTCCCCATTGTGCTTTGCAGAGTCCAAATGGTACAAACAGATAAGAGATATAAAGATGCAGACAAGAGAACAGTTTATTATTAAACAACATCAAAACAGCCAGTTTGATCATAATCATCAGAGAGTCTGGAGAGTGAGTGGTGCTGAAGCAACTTGGAAAATTAATTTTAACGTTTTACGGTCTATTTTCTTGTTTTGCGGCTTGACTTTGGCCCACAGTGGTGCTAATACCACTGAAACAAATCCATACCATCCTGACATGTGTAACCTCCTGAAAGACTTTGGCGCCATGACAGAAAAAGTGAAATCTATGGAAACAAGACTGAAGGAAACTGAAATCTGCCTGAAGGAGGCTGTAACCAGGCTGAAAGACAGCGAAAACCAAATTTTGGAGCTGCAAAGCAAAGGTAAAACAAAATGAAGTGAGATTTCATTGATTAAACTGTTAAGCATTTTTTTCATTGTGGCTGAATACTCACAATTAATTTGACTCAACGTTAACAATCTTCAAAATTTTAGTATAGGAAGGAAGATGGAAGGTGTTGATGCGCTTATTTTATGTTTTCAAACCTGACAATAGAGCATCAACTCCCTGAAATTCAGTGCTGTAAAAAAATAAAAAAGAGTCTTGAGCCACACCTTGTTTCTATTTTTACAAAAATTGGAAAAAGCTGGAATGATTTATTGAAATGTATAAACATTGTGTATCGGGATATCTGAGTAAAAAACAAAGAGTTTATGACTCTCTAACAACCTGGAAATTTGGTAGTACCACCCTAAATTGTCATATTAGAATGCAAAATTAATTACACTGTTTGTCTAATTAAAGATGAAAAGCTTAAAACAATGACATTTTGAAGACCAGATAATGTCCATGTTATCAAAAAGCTCATTAATAATACCATAGTAATTATCCAAATTAAAAGCTAAATGTCACATTTATCTGCTGATATAAAGAAATCTGATACACCTGATCGTCTGTGTGTCCTTACAGATAAGTCACAATATCAGTCAGTGTGGAACCTACATTTACAACAATTTTATGTTTATGATTTGATTTTCACAGAAAGAACCAAGATAATATTCAGTGCAACAGCAGGAAGAGGCAATGCACACATCGGACCCTTCAACACAGACATAATTATAGACTATAAGAAAGTAATTACAAACTTTGGCAATGCCTACAGTCCAGTCACAGGTAAGATTTACAGCCTCCTGTATGCTCATTTGTTTTATTTCACAAAGTAAAAGAGATATAAGTGCAAGACAAAAACATGTTTGCAATTCAGTTTTGGAAAATTAGATTTATTGTTATTGTAAAATTAAATGTATTAAACTTAATTATTAAAAATTTCAACAGCAATTTACAAATCTGACATTTATATGTAGTTAAAGGATGAGACGTAATGATCAAATCTGAATTTCCATTACTTTTTCCGTTTCTTTTTGATGTGACCAACACTCTTTTATTCTTCAGGTGCCTTCACAGCACCTGTTGCAGGTGTTTATTACTTTACCATCTTCTATCACGGTGGAAGAAGCTACCCACACTATCTGCGTATGTTCAAGAATAATGAGATGACGGTCTTTACAGCTGATCATAAGACAGAAAGCGACGGAGCTGATAATGGAGGAAATGCTGTGTTCCTGCAGCTGCAGCAAGGAGACCAAGTGTATGTGAGCATGGCTGCAAACACATATGTTGGGGGAGACGACCACACAACTTTTAGTGGCTTTTTGGTCACGCAAACGTAAGAAAAAGTAAATGTATGTCTGCTTAGGATGACAGGCCAGAGCTTCTTTTAAATATTATGCTTCACACAAATCAAACCAATTTCTGTAACATTCAAATGTGCTTAAGAATTTTGTGCTTTAATTTTATTATCACTCTTGAATTTGATATAATTTTAAGATGTGTGTTCAGGTTAATTTAATTGATTTGAGTTTCATTGTATCGCCTATTATTAACTGCATTTTGATAGCGTTTTAAAAAAATCTTTAGTAAGATAGTTTGAATGAGCTCTGTGTTCAAGTTTATTGCCTTGTAAACAACGTTGTTTTGCTTTTTTTCTGCTTGATCATGAATATCAAAATGTGAACTCAATGAATAAAATTGAAGTAAATAATTTACCTACCATAATGTATGACTTTTGAAGCATACAGGGATCACCTCCATTCCTACTTCACAATTATGTGTTGACAATGTATACTAAATTGTCACGAGTCGCTTAGAGGATCCACTCGCAGGACTCCTGGGTAGCGTTCAAACAGAGATAGTTTAATACAGATCTTCACCAAGTGTATGTACAGACAGTGCGAGGTTAGTGCTATATACAAGACGTGAGGGGCAGGGCTCCAGGGAACACGGGGAAATCGCACACGCGCTCAGAACAGCCTCTCTCCACTCCGCTAGCGACCTGTCACTCCTTCCACACTCCACACGGGGAAACACGGGGACGGGTCCGGGGAATCTAGGAACAAAGGAACACGTTAAGTCTCTGAGGCAGAGGCACGGGAAACTTGAGCTAGGTGTGTACTGACAAGAGCCTTCACAACAATCCAGCGTTGAACAGCTGATCTCCTCCTTCTCATATACCGGCTGGTCTGATGAGGCCCAGGTGTGCACGATCCGGGAAGGCGTGGACCGAGGGCGTGAACCCGCCATGAGTTCTGCCCCGGCAAAACAGGGGAGAGGGAGAGAGAGAGGAAAAAAAGAAGAGAAGGGGGGCTAGGAGTGGAGAGATGCTGATCAGCGCCTTGCCGATCCCGCAGGTCGTGAGACTAAATAATTGTTGGGGTGCAAATAAATAGGAGTAACTTATAAGCATTTTTAGGAGTGAGGAGGATAAACTGGGGCATTTAAACTGCATTCGTCAACAAACTGATACCTGAAAAAATGCCACGTTTCTCAAAACCAGCCATGTATTTACACCTATGTGGAGGTCCCTCTGTTTCGAGCCTGTCAACCTTATATAACTTTGAATTATAAGCACAGAATGAATTAGTGAACATAGAACAGAAATACAAGAAAAACAGAGGATCTTTATATTCATATTATGACCTGTCTAGGGGCCAGGGCATAAAATGAAAAGGAGATGGAAAGTTCCAGCCTTGTCATAGCTTTCCTGCTTTGCAGGGTATTTATGCCATTCAAATAAACTTTACTTTTACAGCCTACCTAACAATGTTCAAGATCTTGAGCTGTCCACCAATGAAGCCTCTTTTTGAGGAAATAGCAAAACAGAGTCTCACTTCACATCTTTTCTGCTAATTGTGCCTTCATGTGCCAGAGCTGTTTCAATGATATGATGGCACAGTTTTTTTTTTTAGTGTCTGAGCTTATACACAGGAACACAGGAATTATTTTGCTAGCAAATGAATTACTGTTTCCTCATTGCTCTTATGCTGAGTTCAGCTGGTACAGATAGATACAGATAGATAAGTGATACAGAGATGCAGACAAGAGAACAGTTTATTATTAAACAGCATCAAAGCAGCCAGTTTGATCATATTAATGAGAGGTCTGGAGAGTGAGTGGTCCTGAAACAGCTTAGAAAATGAATTTTAACAATTTATGGGCCACAGTGGTGATAAGTTACTGAAACAAATTAATATTATCCTGACATGTGTAACCTCCTGAAAGATTTTAGGGCCATGACAGAAAAAGTGAAATCTATGGAAACAGATTGAAGGAAACTTTTTTGTCGTTGTGGCTAAATATCTCATGAGGCAAAACAACAAACAAAGCAAAAAATGAAGACATACCACAAAATAAAAGGAACAGAAATGCACAGCCCAGAAACAAATCAAATTTCTGACCCATAACACTTTCGCAAACAGATGCTTTCTGGATAGACAGCATCTGGAATTGTGCAAGATGTATTATGGATTAAAATATGATAGTACTTTTCTGCCTTCATTGTTCCACTAATTTTGACAGAATTGTCAACATGATGTAGACTAACTCATTGTTGGGGTACAAATGAATATAGAAGTAAACAGGTTTATTGGTCACTCCAACCCCCCACCCCCCAAAAAACAAAACAAAACAAAAAAACAATAGACTAACTTCTACCTTAAGTGTCCAGACTTGGTAGTACAAAGCTAAACCCACTTTTGCCTTCAGAAATGTCTTCATTTTTCATGGCATAGATTCAACAAGGTCCAACAATTCAAAGAACGATTCAGTCATGTGTCCAAGTATAAAAGATGCCTGGGATCACTTATACAGGTGTTAGACAAGAAGATGGCGCAGCGAGAACACAGCAAGAGGAAAGCTCAGATTAGATGAATGTAAATAAATGAAACCGTAATTTAGGGATCTTATGGAAACTTGTCAGGATGTTGGTACAAATAAAACAATAAAACATCTTTGACGCTGTAGTTTCTCCAGACCTTTTTTCCTCATTTGTCCACTAAATGTTACCAGTGTGTTTGACTTTTTTCCTGCTGCACACTTTTTCCATTTACTGTCACTTTGTGCCAGGGCTGGACTGGGACAAAAAATCGGCCCGAGCATTCTGACTAGATGTCATTCAGGGGTAAAACCGCAAAGGATTCTGGGAACTTGTGGCAAGAGGTACTAGCACATGCAGGCTTTCAATTGAACTCAGTTACACAGCGATAAAAAGAAACACAAAAAATGGCAAGAAGCTGTTGCATTATTAACTGCAATAGCCGGTGTTGTGCCAAAAAGTGATTGTCTGCCAAAAAGTGATTTCCGGTATTTGCCAAAAACTGATTGCTCGTATTTAAATTGCT